CAAATCCACTGCCAGCTTCCTCACATCTGGGGCCAGGGCCCCTGCAGGCTGATTTACCCCAGGGTCCTATACCCTGCTTGGGTCGTCTCTGTCTTCCCATTTCAAATTTATTTCTCTTTTGAGTTGAATATCTCTAAGATAAGTGAAACAGTTTTGGAATGAAGAATGTGACTTGGAAAGATTAGGGTCCTGTCGATTTTGAAAGATTACAGAAAAAAATCCTCCTGGAAAACAAAGCAAAAGATGGCTGCAAATGACCTATGGCATCTTGGTTAAGTCTTTTATGCTGTTCACAAATGTCATAGTTGTTAGGGCTGGAAGGGACCCTGGAAGATCGAGTCCAGCCCGCTGCCCCAGGGGCAGGATGTCAGCAGGGGTCACAGGATCCCAGCAAGATAAACACCCAAATGTCTCTTAAAGGAGTCCAGAGTAGGTGCTTGCACCACCTCCGGTGGCAGTCTGTTCCAGGCCTTGAGGGCTCGGACAGTAAAAAAGTTTTTCCTTATGTCCAGCCTGAAATAGTCTTGGAGGAGTTTGTGACTGTTTGACATTGTCATTCCTTTTGGGCGCTCTGGTGAACAGGCGTTCCCCCAGATCCTGATGCACACCCTTTATATACTTATAGGCAGCCACCAGGTCTCCCCTGAGCCTGCGCTTTTCCAGGCTGAAGAGTTCTGTAGCTCTCAGCCTCTCTTCGTAAGGTCTATTTTCTGTTTTGAATCTGTTTTAAAGTCAACAAAAGCTTTTTCTCTAATGATAAATATAGTGCCTCAGGTGATATAGATGGAAGCAAAGGATTTTGCTGAAGAATTTTGTAGCTTTATTTTACATCTTTGGTTTCGTGTAACATCACAATGTAATGATCTGATTTTTGTCTCAGGCTCAAGAAGAGAGCGCTGTGGGTATCGTATCTTACGTCGTCATCGTAATTCAGAGGATCAAACGCACTGTATTGGCAAAGCTAAAAAGAATAGTGAAAAAGTTACCCAGGTGAAAGAAATCCTCCTTAGCGCACTCAGTCCAGAGCAGTTTGTCTTAACATTACTAGAAGCTGAGCCTCCTAATGTGTTGGTGAGTCGTCCCAACAAACCATTTACAGAAGCCTCCATGATGATGTCATTGACCAAACTCGCAGACAAAGAATTGGTTCACATGATTGGCTGGGCGAAGAAAATTCCCGGTAAGAATTTCAGAAGCTTTTTTGTAATTAAAAATTATGTACTGAGTACAAATATCCTCAAGGTAACTTTAATGCAATAAGTGGCTAAAGTATCAGCAAAGTGGCATTAAATGCGTAATGTGTTGTTCTAGAAAACTGCTGGGAAATTGCTTCTGTTCTTCGTAATCCTCCCCAAAATGTTTTGTTTTAGAAAATGACCATGTACAAAGTATTTGTAAGCCTTTCAAAGTTAACAAATACTTGTTTGTTATGAAAAGCCACAATTAATGCAACATATGATTTCAGTTGTATCTCACAAATAGGTTTGAGCAATTTTGTTAGGAACCATACATTAGCATATTTTACTGTGTTGACAGTAATTGTAGTTTGCCTTTTTTGAGGTTTTAAACAGTTTTTAACTTTTCAACATCTAGCTTATTTTAAAATTAGGGGAGACCTAATTCTTTCCCCGCTGAAGAAGGGCTTCCATTTCAGCTGAAGAAAACTCCATGTGTGTACACAATTTTGCCCAATGGTTGTTATACAAAAGCATCAGGCTGTGAATTGGTGTGTAATGAGGAGTTTAGAATGATGACCTTTGTATTCTAGAAGCATATGTCATTAGGAATATTCAGGAAATACAGCTTTTTAATGATTGGTTATGCAAGGTATTGTATTTCTGAAAACTTATGTAAGAAAGAGCAATAAGCAGTGTTGCCTGTTATGCATTGGCATATCTGTTTCTGTAAAAGCTGTTGGAAACTTTCATGGACCCAAATTCATTTTCAAATGTCTTGTAATTTCAACTCCCTCCCTCTTCACTGATGTTTTTCACTATGTGGTGAAACTTGTCTGACTTTATCCCAACTACATACTTGTTCCAATAAAAAATACCCACCTTAGGACATCCTTGTCATTTGTTACTTAAGAACTTTTATTTAGTGATTTGCAAATGCAAAATAAAAAAAAAATGATCAAAATGAAACACTTGATTGACCTCAAATTGCTTTTTAATACTCCATTGCAAAGAATTTCAGACATTTTGTTTTAGCTTAGGGTCCCCTACACATGTAGGTAGAGGTGCAGTGGGATTGAATATGTGATCCACGCAAACATGTGTCCTGCCATGCCACACATGCATGGCAGGATGTGTGATTGTGGGATCATCAGTCAGATCTCATTACATCTTATAGCTGGTGCAGGGGGAACCTTATCCCAGGCTCCCCATGCACTGACAAGAAGCAAGTTTCCACTGCTGAGAGTGCCCTCAGCTGACAGGGCTCCCATCCACAGGGATGTCCCATGCACCTCGTACCTGGACGATCCCAGCTGTGTTGGTGCATAGGGTGGTCCCACAGCTGGGAGGCCTATAGGTTAATGGCATTCCTACCTGGGTGGGGGGCACATGCTCCTGTGACTGGGAGCCAGCATCAGCTGGGAGCTCCCAGGCTTGGGGGAGCATGTACCCCCCCAAGCTGGGATCTTCGATCAACTGATGGGCTTCCAGCTGCAGGGGCATAGGCTTCATATGTACACTAAATCTAGAAACCAGCTATAAAATTATTACATATTTCCCAGCAATAGCTGGTTGGACCTTTTTATGGCACCATAGTTAATTTTGTGCATGTACCCAGTATAAATTGAGGTAACCAGGGAATTGCATAATAGATGTAACGTATAGAGCAGGCCCTATGTTCACACTTCAAGATTCCAAAATCTGGCTTTAATCTTTAAAATGAAATAGGCATCCGCAGAGCACTAACTGCTTTATTTTTTTTGTTGACATTTGCTTTGGGTTTGGTTTTTGCTCCCTGGTATTGAATTTATTTTGAGAAAGCTTTACAAATCAAATCTTTTCTTAGTGATAGTCCAACTGTTTGAAGAAACATAGCTATTAAGGCAATTAGAAGCCATCATACAGATCCTAGAACCATCATCACAATCTTGTGTGTGGTTATTTTTTTTCTAATTACCTTGTGTTACACAGAGCAAAATCAGACATTTGTTTTAGAACAAAGTAGAAAATAGAAGGGTCACAGAATGGAAGTTGTAACATAAAAATGAATACATTCTGAATAGTGAGTTCCAGCATCCATATAATGTAGTAATTAACTTTTGCTATAGTACTGGCTTAAAAAAAACCCAAAGTAATCATGGTAGCTAAACTTCAGGATGTAGGAGTTCAGCATTTTCAAAAATAGATGCCTAAAGTTAGGCTTTTAACTCTATCTTCAGTTGTTTAAATAAGCAGCCTGATTTTCAAAGCTGATTTTTTTAACAGTTCTTCAGGTACAAGGTTTGGTTCCTAAGTGCCTCTTATTCTTTCTTTTGAATAAGTGTTTTTTTTTAATATTTTTTCCTAAACAAAAAAGTGATGCATAATAGGACAAATGAGCACATCCTTTAAACAGGAGAAATGCTAAAAAAAATACCTTTTTTTTCCTCTTGTAATATTCTAATTTTTTCCTACTTTTTATAGGGCTTTTTTTTTTTTTTTTTTTTTTAAATGGGGG